TATATATATATAGCATTTAGTCTCTCGAAACTCAATATTATAAACATGAACTAATTCTTAATGAAATAATGGAGGAATTAAAATGCCATATATATACTATTTTTAATAGACTATTTAGTGAATATTTTCCCCCTACAAAACTAAGTTGAGCCGAGTAAATTTTAGATGAATTACATGAAAAATAAAATAAAATATTATTACATGAATTATTATTGAAATTCATGTTTAAGTCGATTTATGTTTTGCTACTTAAACCATACTTACTCCCATCATCAACCACCTTTTTTTTACTCTTATAATATATTTTTTAATTGTTAAAAAATATTATGCTAATATTTTTTAGAAGCTAGATCAATTTTTATAATTGTTTATAAAATATTATAATGTGACTCCCTATAATAAAAATTACCATAAACATTAAAAAAATGTTACTATAATTTCACAAAATCTCGCATAAACTAATATTACAATTTTTCAAGACACACGTAGACATCAGCACACGTAAATCACCAATATAACTTCTTCTTCTTTTTTCTACAACAACTTATTTTTTGATATCTTCCACTCGCGTTACTTTTTATCTAACGGATCGCCACGTAAAAGCTTCACATTCCAACATAATTAATCTAAATCTAATGGAAGAGTCAATTCTATGTTCTCTTTTGTTGGAGAAATATAAAATATACACACAAAGAATCCAACCTTTTCTGTGATTTATTTATTTTGTTTCAATTAATTCTTTTTATTTACCTGAAGCCGCCTCTCAAAGTTTTGAATCAAGATGTAAGTCCAAGCAATAAAAATATTGGCACCTAGATATGGTGGAATTGTGGAAATTAAGCAAAACCAAATCAGTGTACGAAACATGATAAACTGTCTACCACAACAAATATAAAAATGTCCCGAAATTAAAGGGAGCATTAACTAAATATTATTAGTTAATTTTTTTTAAGACAATAGTTGCTTGATGTTGCCTAATGTCTAGGTTGAAACAGTAAGTGTAATAATATAATAAACGTTTAAAATATAATAAACAAATAATAATATAAGAGAAACATTTAGGGGGATGTATTGGATTAAGATTTTAAAGGACTTTTTTAGTTGAAAAAAGTCTTGTACGTAGATTTTAAAAGACTTTATAGAATTTTTATGACTTTTAAGACTTTGGAGAATTCTGCAAGACTTTAAGTCGAGATTTTAATGGATTCTACAAGACTTTAAAGTTATAATTTTAATAGATTCTACGGGACTTTGTAAACTTTACAGAATTTCATAGATTTTTTATATACGATAAGAGTTCAAGATTTTTTTTCCATACATTTAAAAAGAGTTAAAGACAAAAATAATTAAAAAAATAACAATGTCTGGATAAATAATAATAATAATTTCCCGTAATATCATGTGCTCCTAAATAGTATTCACCCATATATTCATAGTTATACTAGTCCTCCAAGCATTAACATCTTTTCGCTTTTGCTCCTGTGTTTTAATAATAGATTCAAAATTATGATTTTCATTAATCGACAATGTTGAAGATGAAGGTTCATATCCACCACTTCAATTGAAAATTCATCAGAATGACATTCTTTACAAATAAAGTTATGTAGTGTTGCACAAGCTAAAAATTATTCTAAACAACATTTCAAATTTTTTATAATTTGTGATTTAAAATATTTTATTTATAAATTTATAAATGGTTAAAAATATAGTGTGACAACTAGCCTACTCTCTTATAATTAAATATGTCCATGCATTTTATATTGGTATTTGAGTGAAATTTTGTCTTTCATACACTTTTATTCATTTAAAATATCTTAGAAATTTATAAACATCAACTATGAGAGTAAAAAAATATCTGAAATTTGTTACAAGTACAAAATAATTTTTAAAGTTTTTTAGTTGCTTTCAAATTATTCATCCGCAAAGAAATATTTTTAGTATTAAATTCTAAGATACTGTATTGTCTTATGTTAATTTTTTTTAAATATAAAAAATCCTAATTTCACAATATAAAAAGTGAAAAAATAAAATTCATAGTAAAAAAAAAGAAATAAAATAATTGTTGAGTCATAAAAGAAGGAAAGATAATAGTATTAAGATCCGTTATTATCTCATTCTACTCACAGAAATCCTAAGTCAAATTCTTCATCTTATATATATATTCTAATAAATCTAAATTTATTACAAGGTCTTGAAGATTTACAATTGATTATCACTACAAAAAATTATGTAATTAGTTGCGGTTTTTTTCTGGTGGTTTCCAAAAACCGCCACAAAATATTATTATTCTGGCAGTTATTTTAACCGCCACAAACGAACGATATTTTCAGCGGTTGAAAACCTCCACAATCTTTAAATACCTGTTTTCCCATCCTATGTCACACGTGACAACCATTTTTTTATATTATTTAAAAAAAATTCAAAAAACAAAAAATTATTCTTAAATAATTTAATATGAGCATTTCCCATTTTTCATTTTTAATATTTTTAATCAAAAATACTATTTTACTACTCTTTTTCTCTCCACTTTTTAGGGTTCACTCATTCATTCTCTATTTTTTTTAAGTCAAAGAAGTTGCTCCTGATGTTAGAAGAAGAAATGCCAAGCTCTCATTCTCTTTTGTCTTCCCGGACAAACAATTGTTTCAAAGTCCAAGAGGTAATGTAATTCTTCTCTCTACTCAGCGTTCAATTATAGTTTCCTTGCGATTATGGAAAATTGCAGAGAAATGTGACTTCTACGGCTACAATTGTGGTGGTGAAGGCATAACTTCAAAAAAAAGTTGGAACCCTAAAATTTCTTGAATGTTCGAGAAGGTAGATTTGGAAGGGAACGGAGGCGGTGCAATTTGGGGATGGCGGTGATGGAGATTACCGCGGTGGCGGAGAAAGACATGGAGTTGAGGAAATCGGCGTTCAAGCCAAACTCACCCGCTTGCAAGGCTGTTGTGGATCAAGAAAGCGGATTCGTTGCATAAAGACGATTGGGAATTTGGCCAGAACGTTTAAGGCGACGGAGTCAGATGATTGGGCCCTTGGTGAGGCTTCTGAACGAGAGGGAACCGGAGGTGCTGAGGGAGGCGGCGATTGCGCTCACGAAATTCGCGTGCACGGAGAATTACCTCCACGTGGATCACGCCAAGGCCATCATAAGCGTTGGTGGCGCCAAGCACTTGATTCAGCTTGTGTATTTTATGGCAAAGCTCTATTCAAGTATGAGTGTTTCCGACCTCGTGAAAGGCCAAACTTTGCCTATTTATAGAAACTCTCGAGAGCAGTTATCTTTCGTATGCATGCGTCGTGGGTGTGTAACCGCTCTCCATATCAGATACGTGCTCTAAAGCGTAACTTCCCATAACCGTTCTTTCCACGTGTTTTAAACCTTTTTTATTTACTTTTTACGAACTGCTCCGTTTCGACTCCAACTCTTTTTGGAAACCTGTAGTAACCTCCTTTGCCTATTTTCGAGTGTTTCTTTCTCAGATTCGGCTTTCGAGCGTAAATAATTGAGACCCTTGGTACACTCCCGGTAGGTGTTGTTCGAGTAGCTTTCCCAAAGCACAAACACCCCTTTTTCGAGTCATACGATTTTCGAGTGACCCTAACATCACCATTACCAAACTCAATAGTCTCTAAACTTGAAGGGATGTATTGGGAAAAATCTAAATCCCACATCGAATATTTGATAAAATAATTAATAAGGAGATAAGATAATTAAAAAAATATATAAGTAAAAGACAATTCTCATCTTACAAGTCTCACATCGAATAATGTCACAAAAAGGTATACACTTTTTTCGACCATTATAAAGATTTTTACCAGCATTCAGAATAATTACTGTTAAATGTTTTAGTGACACTACATACAATGACTATTGTGAAAATGCCGCTAAAAGATTTTGTAGCAATTTTTATTACCACTAAAAATCATATTAAATGCCACTAAAAATCTATTTTGTTGTAGTGAATTAACATGCAAATGTCCAAGTAAAATAAACAATTTTTGGTATATAATATTTTATCTGTATAAAAATGTGATTTTAATATTTTTTATACTTTGAAATAATGTCTTTGCATAAATAATGACATCATATTATATATATAATATATATATATATATATATATATATATATATGCTGTT